ATATGTGTGTGCTTATATCAATGGGTGGATGGTTGGACAGATGGGTGAATAGACGGCTAGATAATTCTTGTCAAATGATCCTGAAAATGTCCCTGTAGAATTAGAATACATTTGGTTAGTTCTCATCCTTCACTGATTAAGCAGGCTCATCACTCCCCTGAAATTAGTGAAGTTTGGACTCTTAATGGCAATTGCAAATCTTCCAAATCAATCCTTCTGTGAAATCATGGCATGTAAGGATCTGCTAATTACATTGATATGTTTGAAGCATCATGCTACACATACACAAACCTCCACACCCTCCAACATTTCATAGGTGAAAACAGGAATGCATGAATATGTAACATCCATATTACCTTTCTAAGAAGTTAGTGCTTGAGCTCATTCAGTTCTAGCCCATTGCTGATGGTTCTTGCCCTGATTCTAGGCAGCAGTCTTCACTTTCTCAGGAATAGCCCATTGCTTCAAAAGCACAACAAGCATCTTTAAATTTTAGTTAAATATATATGGGATAGCCTTTAATGCAGGGGTCAGCAACCTTTTTCAGCCGTGAGCCAGTCCACCGTCCCTCAGCCCATGTGGTGGGCCGGACTATATTTTTTGGGGGGGAAATTAACAAATCCCCCCCCCACAAATAACCCAGAAATGCATTTTAAATAAAAGCACACATTCTACTCATGTAAAAACACCAAGCAGGCCCCACAAATAACCCAGAGATGCATTTTAAATGAAAGGACACATTCTACTCATGTAAAAACACGCTGATTCCCGGACCGTCCGCAGGCCGGATTGAGAAGGCAATTGGGCCGCATCCAGCCCATGGGCCTTAGGTTGCCTACCCCTGCTGTAATGTGTTATCAAAGGTCCACCAGGCTTCACCATGTGAAGCACACAAAATGTCAGGCTGTATGGTGGTGTCTTAGTATTCATGCTTTTGCAGTACAGTCAATATGCATCTCTTTCAGAGATGTACAGTACATGCCTACTCAGCATGCCTACTCAGAAGCAGCCTAATTAGCCTACTTACTTCTGGCTAAGTGTATATTGTTTTAGTAAAAAATAAAATAAAATAGAGAACTCTCCAACCAGTCAACAAAGAAAGGCACAGTGGAGTGCGAATGGTTTTCAAACTATTTACAAGATGGAAGGCCTACAATCCAGAGCACTTTGGGACCTCTTTGGCCCTCCAGATGTTGCTGAACCTCAACGCCCATCATCCTCAGCCATTGGTCATGCTTGCCGAGGCTGATTGGCAAGTTCAACAACATATGGAAGGCCAAAGGTTCCTCTATCTTGGTCTAGACCAGGGTTTCCCAAAGCTGTTTTTGGACTACAGTTCCCACCATCCCTGACCACTGCTCCTGCTAGCTAGGGATGATGGGAGTTGTAGTCCAAAAACAGCCAGAGACCCAAGCCAGAAACCCTAACCTAGAGACACAGAGGAGGGAAAGGGATAAGCTCTGCAAAAACCATCAGCCCAGGAATTCAGGCTTATAAAATGTCAGCAGGACGTCACAAAAGCATATATTCAAGCACAAACAGAAGGAAGGGAAAGTGTAGCTGCCTTGTAAATGGATGGACTCTCTGTTCATTCAGGTAAGAATGTTCTGCTCTAAGTTGCATCAGTTATCCTGGGTCCCAAGCAGTGGGTTTGGGGTTTTTTGTACCATAGGAAAGTAGTGGATTTTCCTTTGTTAGAGGTTCTTAAGCAAAGGCTAGATGGTCACCTATCTAGGATGCTGTAGTAGGTAGGGGGTTGGGCTAGAAGATTTTTGAAGTCCCTTCCAACTCTGTTATTCTAGCACAAGCCTCCTGATTGTTTACAAGCCTGATCCTTTACAGAAGCTGAACCTTGGACTTTCTGCATGTGGTCTACAACTGACAGGATGTTGCAACATAGAACGATTGATATACAGGTGGAGGTAGTGAGGATGGGGTGGTGGTAGGAAAGAACAAAAAAGAAGAAGACTGACTAACAGAGAAAAGAAAGAATCCTGAGGCAAATAGGGATCATTGGAACATATGGACCAAGAAAACTATCACATGGCAGAATATTGAAATGCAAAGCCAACACATATCCATCTTACTCCCAAGCATGTCAGATGTTCCTCACTGGAAGAGACCTAAAATAATAAAAAATGAAATCAAAGTCCCATTGAACATAATGGACTCACCTTATTTTGCCACACAATGTTTTGACGTGTTCCTTATTTCTGAAACTTTGATCTGGTGACTTTACTTATCCCTGCCACTCTTGCAAACAAGTCAGTTTTCAACTTCTGACCCTCTGGGTCCTGTGATCTTTTCCCTTTATTTTCAATATTAGTTAGAGGGAAGCTTGTGCTTTCCTCTTTTACTTCCCCTTCCCTTCCTGGCACAGGGAAAACATATGCCACTTTTAATAAGCACGTAGGAATGATATAAGCACTGCTGTTGCCATGGATTTGAGATAAACACATATTACAAGTTACAACTCATCTTAAGCATTGCTGGAGCTCATTTAAAAATACAGATTTGGGTAAGCAGTTTTCTCTCTCTTCCTCCTAATCGATCACAGATCCCTTATAAATAGTGAGGGTTTGTGGCCCTTGATTCAATCAAAACAGTTCAGGTGCCAAATACTGCAATATATAAGATGCTGAGTCGATTATCAGTGATGCCAAACAACACACAGTGACTTATTCTGCCTGTAGAGACTGCAGGTGCATCAAAGATTCACCAGTGCCAATTTTTACATGGCTAAATATCAATTTCTGAGGAGTGAAACTATTTCCTGAAATTTTGTGTGTGCGTATTGATCCTAGAATGCGGGTGAGAGGGGGGGCAATTCTGCTGGGGGCCATTGTTTCTGCTAGTTGCTGCAACTGCAGCACAACTCTATCTTTGTGGATGTTGCTTCTTTGCTCTTTGAGGCTTAATCACATGGGCCTTCCCAGCCAATCACAAATCATTTAGTGAAAGGTGGTATTGTCACAGCATGTCTAGCCAATCAGATTTGCCTTCTGGATGACAACACAGCGAGAGGAAATTGGGAGAATGGAGACTAATGTAGGTGGTAACATTTAGGTGGAGATGTGGGGTAATGCATTGTCTGTTGTGAAGTCCATCAAATTTGGTTGTATAAGGTAAATGAAATCCAATGAAATAGGGTTAAATGAAGCTTCCTTAACCTAATATGGTTCTGACATCGACCTTGAACTGGTTTTCAAGCAGATAATTTTCCCTACATCTCCTACCTCTTTCAACTAAAGGTACTGAAAGGACCTTGTTCAAACAAAAATGCTTCAGGCTGGACACAAGGTGAGGTAGGTCAAGCTTGGGCAGATCCATAATTGAGAAGATATATTTTGGGGAGCCAAATTTTGACCTCACTTAGGGCACCAAATATTACCAAAGTTGACCTATTGCTGTGGAGTCAGAGGAGCTTCAGGTCCTCCTGGGTCTTCTACAGCTAAGTCTTCTCAGCCAGAGGATAGCAATGCCTTATTCTTGGGCCACAGGGAGGGTATTGTTCCAGCAGGTTCATCTGATAACTACTCTGCTGGTGTCCTTCCTGTTGAGGTTTGGAGTCCTTGTTTCCATTGCCTGATGGAGAGGATCCTGACTCCTGCTAACGAAAACCCACAGTAACTCTGAGACTGGTTATCTAGGAAGGAGGTAGCTTTGCATATTGGGCTCTCTTTTGTTCTGTATTGAAACTCGCTTCACCCTGATCCTGTGTGGTAATTTACTTTTCACAGATTTCTCCTTTGTGTAAAGGTTTCCTGTTCATTGAAACAGAAGAGCCAGGCCTACATGCTCAGAAACAGGGATCGGGAACCTATGGCCCCTCCAGATGTGTAATTCTTTCACCTCTGATGCCCTTCACCCATGGCCATTGACTAGGATGCCTGGGAGTGATGGGCACTGGAGTTCAACAACATCTGGCAGCCCAAAGATTCAAAAGAATATGGGCATGGATCTGGTTCACAGATTTAAATGAATGAGGCACCCTGTGTATTCATCTCAGTGTATACAGATTTCTCAACAACAGTGTCTATCTACTTGTAAATTCTGAGGACCTGGTCATATTCATATGGTCATATTCAGCTGGATTCTCTCCACATGCATTTTGTCTCATGTATACACAAAAGGACAGTATTTTGTAGCATTTTTTAAAATACTTTTTTTGCACATTAGTGCAAAAGTGCACAAGTATTTCCACTTCCGTGGAAATCTCTACATATGAACCCCAAGGGAGATTGCTAGAGAAGGTTTTGTGGTGAAAACGCATGCGTGTGAAACAGGTATTTAACAAGGTCTTCAGTTTCTGCATTTTGCAGCTTGCAGACTTGGACCAATAGATCTTTAACAAATCACCACACACAGAGCAGCGTGATTACTGAGATTGGAAGGCATTGGGGGGGTGTATTGTTCACAGATCTAAAGGCTGGCAGAGTGTGGGGGGGCACTCTGGATAAAAAGATGGATTTGATAGGTTAAGAAGTCATAGAACTTTGACAAAGCATAACTTTACTAATACAAATAAGCTCTCTGAGCTACATTTGAATTCACATCACACCACACCTGGTAAGAATTAGTCTAGCACAGCATCATCAATCATAGTGTGGTTGTCAGTTTTGACATCCTTTAAGTCTATGTTGTGTGCTTAATGACTACATTACAGAAAATGTAAACAGACACCAAACATACAGGTATGCCCTATTTTTTTTAATCCCTTTTTGATTTTTTAAAAATAGTCTCTTGGGTGCAGGGATCTATGCAAGTTGCGCAGAAAGCTACACTACCACAAACAGCACGAGAGTGAGGTTTCAAACTGAATTGAATAAAAGATAAATTTCTCAAGTGTAGGGATCTGGTTACAAAAATGTATAATTCATATTTACACAGGTTTTCTCTTCTTTAGAGAGAAAGAGAAAGTGGGAATATGCCTTATTAAAACCAGTGACAAAATGCCCATTTATTTGCACGCAACACATACGAACTGCATTATATTCGCACAGTTTCTTTATTCTTAGCCGTGATGACATGTCCACTGCGTACTACCAACGATTCAACGGTCAGTTGCGAGAATGTTTCATGCTCTTCATCAGACATATATGGGAAGAAAATGTGGGAGAAATGTTTGCATTTATAATGTGGAAACAGAGCTGCTGCCACTACCCGCCTCCCGCCGCCCAAATACTAACTGAGTGGATGTACTCTCTGTCGATTCCCCCCACCCAGCCACCGCCTCCTCACAAATGTGTATGCAGGGATTACAGATACAGAGATCCTGCATTATGTTTCCACATAAAGGCCTGGCATGGTTGTGCTTGCTTTCAGGCACTGCAAAGGTAAAGGGGAGGGGTGGTGGCTGGGTGGCTGGGTGGGGTGAGGAATACATGCTCAGGAGAAAGTTTGTAAAATCCCAATGTAAGAAAGAAATAGGCAAGATCTTAAATTAGACCAGGCTTCGACTTTTGGAAACAACTCTTAAGAGCAAATGTGCAGTTTGGCTGAGACGGTTCGTGAAGAGTGCAAATTTTATTTATAAACTAGTATTTCATACTAGTAAATTCATAAATGCTAATAGCCCCGTACTGATCGAATGTAAGCAAGTTGCAGCGAGATAGAGTCAATTTATGCAATTTGCCAATTCAAACCCAAACTTTAGAGCAGCGTTGCTTGTAAGACTGTGATATTAGTTGTGGAAGGGTTAACGGCAATAATACATTTTATTGCACATCTCAACATTAACATGGCTTTATGTTATCTCAGTAATGTTTACAGCAGCCTTGTAAGGTAGTCTAGCATTCTTATCCCTGTTTTGCAGCTTGGGTGGGGAAGAGGCTACTGCTGAGAATGAGACTTCCCTCAGAAAACACAGCCCTATAATTTTTTACTCAGAACAAAATCCCAGTGAGTTCAGTGGGTCTTAGTGGGTGCGGGATTGCAGTCTAAGGCCATCTACCAAGTTCGTGTGTGTAGCCATCTTTTGTGAAATCGTTTTAATAGCACAGCATATAGATGGATTCTGTACAGTTTATAAATGGATAAATACCTTTTGGTGTGTGTTTGTGTGTGTGTGTGTTCCTCTCTTCAGTGCATATGCATCACAAACTTTGGGCAGGCTGAAAGCTAGAGAAACCCTCTCCTTAAATGTGTTGTTTTGAAAGTAACATTAATTTCATTGGGACTTACTTTCAGCTCCTATATTTATGATCTGAGTGGAAAGTATTTAATTTCAAGTCTTCGATTTGCAATATTCCAATGCCTTCTGAAATTCTGTGACGAGGAGTAGAAACCATAGTTACCCATCTCTCTGCCTCTCTCTCAAAAGCAGCTCTGAGCATGGTAAAAAAACAACGTAATACTTTTTTTTAAGCATACAAATGTTATATTACACAATGGACTGCTTTACAAAGGGTAAAGAAGGAGTGGAGTTAAGTTAAGTATATATTGCAATGAGACTTTTATTTTCCAAAGGATCAATGGGATAAATCTGGGCATGTTATGTAAATATGAATGTGTATGTGTGTGTGTTCAATTTCCATCAAAGAGAAGAATCAGTGTTGTTTGATAAAACTATTTTCATACAGCTTTTGCCTGGTTCAGGCAAGCATTTACATGACTTCCCTAGAGCATCAATTCCCAAAATGCCACAGTTCTAGGAATGAAACATAATTAATAAGTCGTACATTTGAAATGTGTAATATATTTTTTAAAATAGATTTGTTTTGGATCAAGCACTGTCTTCAGTAAGGATCATATGGAAAGGTATCTTCCCCCTACGACCCATGTTACTTTTGCACAATGCCATTCGAAATTCACTGTCGAAAACATCAACACATATAGGTAACCAATAGCCGAGTTCTAAAACAATTTCCATTTTGGGATGGTTTTACCTTTAGCAACCCACATCCATTGCAAGATCGACTTCTGCCCTTGTAGTAATTCTCCCCCTTTACAATATTTGCCAAGAATCCTGGAGAGGAGGAAAGAGTGCAAATCTAGACTGAAAGAACAGCATATATCAGTTTTTCAAGAGAAGAACTTTATATGAGAAGGGAAAATGTAATCTTTTCCTGTGATCTCTAAGCATACTATTTTAAGGGCTGCATGCGCTCTTGCTCTCTCTCTTAAAAAAAACACCTCCTGATGCTGATTCCTTTCAAACCAAAGTTTCAAACCAACTCTGCCTGAATCCAGAATATAACTGACTGCCCTTCTCAGAGTGCTAATAAAGGGTTACACTGGCTTTAATGAAAATGTACTAGGTTCACATAATTCAGTAGCTAATTAAAAGCGCGGCTGAAAGCCGGGAGCACAGATATTGTTTATATTGATAGCTATTGTATTACTTCGGTATATAATGCAAGCCTCTTCAGCTGACTGATGCCCAAAGGAGGGACTAACAAATCGCTCAGCTGGTGGTTGACATTGGTCCTGAAGAAAGCTAGGAAGGAACACTCTGCTGCCTTTTCAGAGCCTGAACACCAGCTGTCACCCAGCTATGGGTGCTGAAAAGCCGCTGTCACTTCATCCAAAGGGATTTACTTGGTCAGAAGGGAAAATTTAAATACAAAGCATGCAGCTAAGAAGCTAGTGAAAAGGATTATGAGTGCACAGGAGCACATGTGTATAAGACACTAATACATCTTTAGGAAATTTCAGATTCCCCCAAAGCCTGGATTAATGCCAGAGGCAGGGTGGTATACGTAGGCAAGGACCTTTTACCGTTAAGTTATTATCTCACAGCTCATTCAGTGTTAGAGGTCTCTCATTTAAGGGGGGGGGGAGAAAACGTTTGCCCTGCCCTCCACCCCACACATCATCATCCTCCCCTCATCCTTCAAAAAAGCTGAGCGAGTCCTTCCTGGCCTGTTCTGAATGAAAGTGATATGCAACACCTATGGGCATATACCATTTCATATATTTTTTTAACCATCCGTGGCTTATTTGGCACCCCCCCCCCCAAAAAAAAACCTCACAAAATTGTAGCACAAAAGAAGACAGGTGTCTCGAATACATTCAGCAAATGGCGTGCGATCATTAATGGTGGCAACAGAGGAGAGAGGTGCATTTTATTACGGGAGCTCTGAGGTAAATATGTGGCAGGGTGGGGTGGGGATGGAAATCCTGACTGAATCCATTGCTGGTATTCATAAATAAAATTGCACAGTGGACAGGGATCAAGCGTTGTACCCTATAGAGCCTTGGGAGGCGAGTTGTTGTTTTGTTCTTTCTTTGAAACGGAAAAGCAACAATAATAATGCATTTAACAATTTGTGTATTTAGCTGGCTAAATGCACGGCAGTGGGTTTCAGCTCAACCCCACATTGCTTTGCCTGGGGTGAGGTACTTTTCTTCCTGCTGTGAATAGAGCTTCTGGCCTGCCCGGCTGGCGGCAGGAAACTGAGGAGAAGAAGAGAAAGTGCCAAGCTGTTTATAGAGGAGGAATGGAGAAAGGGAACCGTAGTGGAAGATACAAATACTGGAGCCTGTGGGAAGAGTTATAGAAGACATTATTGCAGTCAGTCTGAACAAGCAGTTTTGACCTTGCCTCCAACATAGGCAGTGTTACTAATTCTAGAATGAGGGGAAAGTGGTGGTGGTGGTGGGGTTTGAAGGATGGGCCCTGTGGGAGACACGGTGACTGGGAAAAGGACCATGAAATAATGGTAACGACAATAATGAAGATAACCATCAAAATAAATAAATAAAATGTAATATGACTGCATGTGGGGTTTTTTTTTTGGGTGGGTGGGTGGGTGGGGGGAGAGGCAGAAGGTGGGAAGCAGAGAAATTCCTGTTAACAAGTCCACAAGGATGTTAATGACATGTGTGGCACAAAGCCTTGAGATTTAACAAAAGTGCACACAGCTCAAAGCAGCTGCCTTTAGAGGTCAGTAGAACATCGCTGCAGTATTTACAAATTTTCCACGAAGGATTAGAAGTTAGGCTTAAAACCTTTATAGAGATACACAGATGTACACACAAAATCTCTCTCTCTTTCTCCCTCCATATATATATATATATACGCACACACATAAATCATTCCAGAGGATGCTGTATTACTGTTATCTAAATTTCTTCACATAGACTATCGTGTATCTGCCCCAGCAAAGCTGATTAGTGAGCAGCTTGATTCTGACACATCCTTTATGCCAGCCCCAAGCCGCCTTGCACAGCCACCTTATTCACTGTGGAGACAGGCCTGAAGCAAGATTGTAACACAACATATGCAAATGAGATGAGCCTCACACCACTTAAAATGAGATGGCTATAATATGTAACAGCTTAATGTGCCCAGGGACGTGATTGATGCCCTTTCCCCCATCTCTAAAGAGCTTTGGGTTTGGCTTGAGACACCCTTTCAAGCCATATATGTTTATTTCTTTTTAACATCATCTTTCCAGCAATGCGTTTCCCTCTTTTCTTTAATCCTACATGTTGCGTGCGCCCCTCTATAGATTCAAGTAACGTTGTCGGATAGCATGTAAAAAATAAAAAATGGGAAGGCGTCGAAAGTAACTTCCTTAAAAAGTTAAAACAGATTAGGATTATTTCCACTTCCAAAGAGCAATTATTAAATCGAGACAAAGCTAGTTTCAATTAAAATATACCGTTTGAAATTTGGCATGGCGCCTCCCGTTAATAAACCGCCCTGCTCTTAGATTTCAAAATAGTATTGCAGAACGAGTGCCTTGCAAAAAATAAAAACAAAATCCCCAAATAACCAAATGTTGCCCAGCTCAACTGCCTGTACACTGCTAATCAGTATTCATTTCCTGTCCTTAAAGTAAACAGAAAACAGATTTCTCCATTTCCCCTAAAATCAATCTCTCACTGTATGTCAGTTGCTTTATCCCAATTAGTATTCTAAATTCATTTATTTTTGTCATAAATTAGATTTTTTTTCTAACATACCTTGGCACAGCTTTTCATTCACTACTTATATGTAATGTGACAGACCTAACGTCATGTAGCTTAGTGGGAATTAACAAAAACAAAAAAAAGGTAACTTGTTAATGAATTGAGATGAATTGGAGGGGAAAAGGCGTATTAATTATTGCTTGCCTAGTAGGTTAAGCTTTGGCTCTTCACCTCAGTGGCCCAGAGTACATTTCTTGCCTTTGGCCATGTCGGAGGGGCTCATTAAAACATCTCTTGGGAGGAGACAGAAATTGTTAGTGAAAAGCATTGGTCAGTGCCTCTACTAGAAGAACCCAGCAGGGGAAAGAATCCCTGATCTCGGAGAACTAACAAGACTGTGTATATTACACCTGTAATCAAACTGCTTAGAAAATGCCAAGAGACCAAAGTCTTCTCTTTTTTGACTGGAAGAGTTATCTGAAAATGCTGAAGCTCACCCGTGATTGATGTGCAGGTACAATTACAAGCCTTCATATATTATACAACATTGTGGCTGTAAACCTTAAAGCATAAAATGAGGCACTGGGTAAGATAATACAGGTGACTGCTGAATGCAAGGACACGTGTGTGTGTGTGTGTGTGTGTGTGTGTACACCCACACACTTTTTAATGGTTTGCTAACCAGTACCAGCAAGAGATAGCGTAATGGCTAGATGTTGGGGAATGCATTTAGGAAGACTCGCTGACTTATCCTGCTCCCTGCTTGGAGAAGTTCCTAATCAGAGATTGGTGTAAAGTTTCTATGCTACTCTAAGCAATTTGGAGGCAGGGTGTACATGTGACAAAATAAGGGCTGTGTTTATAAGGGCTAGAGCCCCGCTACCTAATAGGGTACCTTACAGATGTGATGGACTGAACTCCCATCATCCCTGACTATTGACCATGTTGGCCGGGGTTGATGGGTCTTGTGGTTTACAACATCTGAAGGGCAACGCTGGACCTTACTCTGGCTCTGTGGTGCATGAGTTAAAATGATCGGGTGACAGTGGGCAGAATAAATTGCATACAGAAGATCCCAGGTCTAACTCCTAGAATCTCTCATTAAAGATCTCAGTTTCCTGGTGCGCCAAGTGACTACTCTGCATACCATTACATCAGACTAATAGATATTGAGGCTTCAGTGGCATCAGGATCAAGTAGGACTGATCCTGATGCATATGCCAAGCTTGAGGTCAGTGCAGGATGATGAGCTGTTCACACAAGAAGTCCTCCATTTCATGTGATTGCTAATTAATGCACGGTGTCAGACTAAAGATATATGCAGGTAAAGTCTTGAAAACAAAGCGATTGCTGAAATAAAAACATGTTGTAGCATCCTGTCAGAATTCTTTGGCTTGAACATGCCTAAGCAGAGGCAAGGAGCATTAAATCTGCAAAGCATCTGAGAATATTTCCCTATGTGTGGTTGCCTTTCATATTTGACACTCAGTGGGTGCTATTATGAGGCCATTCACACTGCGATAATAATAGATAACAAGATATTCTCTAAGATATGAAGGGACCAAGATGCATTACTGTCTTACTTAATAAGAAGGCTACCCCGAAACAATATTAGACCTGTCCTGTAGACCTGACTGGCAGATTCATATGAAAGCCAATGTTTTTTTTCTAGGCTAAATATCTACAGTCCACGATGTGGAAGACCCTGAGCTGTGCTGATGTCACAGTTAACTTTACGCTCTTCACTCATGTGAAGGAAGAATATCACAGAATGTTGACGGTGTAGCTCCAGCTGAGAGAAGCAGAAGGTTGGCTCAGCTGGAGGGAAGACTTCACACTGGGTCCAGGAAGAGAAACAGCTGAACCTTTGGTCACAGATCTTTAACAAATATAGTATGGGATAAATCTACTAGGTGTTGCAATAGGGAATGTCTTGTTGGTAGACCTCTAGAAAATGATGGGTGTATCTAGAGTTTAGGTGAGTGAGCAGGTAGGTAGATACATAGACAGACAGATATTGCAGTGTTAAATACCAGATAATTCTTAAAGAAGGCCAGTTGTGTTGATTAATGGTCTTATCTATTTTCTAAATTTATACCCCACTCTTCCTCCCGGGGTGGCAAACGAAACAAACAATGAAATGGTTATTATTATTATTATTATTATTTTAAAAAACCAATTCCAATATAGATTGAGATTCAAGCAGTGCCAAGACTGTCCTAAATTCCAGACTCTATACAAATGTTATTGAAAGGACTTTGGATGCCTGCATTGGAATGCCAGATATTGAGATACGGGGTTTATGACATTTGAATCTGTCCTTATTTCAGATCGACTCCCCTCCCTGCCCCAAACTGCTGTCCAAAACTGTCATCTTTGAGCCACTTTGTAGAAGGGCACATTTTAAAAGAACGAGAATCCTTGAAAGATGACAGCACTTTGTCATATGCATAGGCATCCATTTGATGACTAATTTATATAAGAGAGTATTATACCTTTAGATTGGTTTTGGGACCGATGATTTACATGGCAGTTCTAGATAGCTTTTCTGGGGCTGCCTCGTGTTGAATTGTAGCCCTTCTTGAACTGGCAGTGTATAATGTGAAGTGTTTTTGTTGTCACCTCTCAAAATCTTTGCCTAGTAACCCTGGTGCTCCTTGTTCTGCTGAGGACCAGTTTATACATTCAGCAGAAGTTAGTAGTAGAAAACCCCCAAGACTTTAACACTTCAGGATGCAGATCCAGTAATCATTATTTGAAGGCTCCTCTATCTAACACACGTTATCTGTTTTGTCTGTCTAAAGCAGACTTCCCCAACCTGGTGCCCCACAGATGTTGATGGGCTACCACATCTCTGATCATTGGCCATGCTGGACCGATGGCCACAGATTAAGGGAGTCTAGTCTAAAGAATTAACCACCTTTCCATTACAGTACAAACACCCCAAGTTATGTTTTAAAAAATGATTTTGTAGTGCAGAGTCGATACTTTGTACAGCTGCCCAGTACACCAAACACTTTTTTTTTTACATTGTTAATTCTTCCTCAAACAAGATATTTTTATTTACTACACCCTTCATAAGAGCTGGTTTCTGGGGGCTGAGGCACTTTGGACCTCCTCAAAAAAATTTTTAGGGGGCTGCCCCCTCCCATTGTTTAGGCGGGCACAGAACGACATCAGGATGTTGCACAGCATTGTGTCGGATCCCCTCAATGTTCTTCAGAAGATGGCACCTCCAACACCATCACAACATTTTTATATCACTAGAAAATGACAAATTCCCAAAAAATCGCAAATGCTAAGCTCAAAATTTCCATTTTTCTTGAAAATGAGACAACAAACTAGCCCTTTAAGGGAGTGCATTGTGCAATTCCAGAATCATAGCCCAGAAGGCCCACTCCTATGGAAACTCTTTGATCCTGGAAAGATGGCATTTGGAGCAGAACCTCATCAGCAGATCTGCAGATCTTAAAAAACTCTGGTGGAGAACTTGCAGTAGTGTAGTGTGGTTTTTTGGTCCCTGCAGTGTGTGCGTTTGTTGCACAACATAGTAACAAAATCAATAATTTTAAAAAGCCATAGATTGTTTAAGTAGCCAAAGGCCCAGGAAGAGAGGAATCTTTTTGCCTGGCTAAATCCTATCAGGCTTTTGGATATGCCCACTATATCTAAGTTTCCTTATACTGTGTGTGTCATGTACTGTAATGCCTCTATCTTGGCTTGAAGGCTTCTGGCATTAGCATATAAATGCCTTTACATCATATCTCTTGCCCAATGCAATTGTGTTCGGTTTATTTATTTTTGGTAAGACCCTTTTGTCCCTTTAGCATTTCTGGTTTCCACTCCTGTTGCATGAAAATGTGACTCAAGTAATTGTTTGTTTATTTACAATATTTCTATGTCACCTTTCTTGGCAATGCTCATTTGCGACAGCTTACGACAACAGCAAAGTTACAAGGCCAGCAATACAAGAGTAATTACCCTTAAATGTTTTTAAGCCTTTTTATTTATACTTTTAATGTTCCCTGTAAGCTGCTTCGAGGTTCTACTAAAATCAAGTGGGATATATATTCTGTACATAAATAAATATATTCTGTTCTACTGCCTTATTGTGCCTGCAGATATAGACGCTCTGAGCCCACCTACATTTAACTGATTTCTGTCCCCTGCTACTGAGAATGAGTTAGGTGGTGTGTGTGTTTTTTCCATAAGGAAAGTCAAGGCATCCCCAGATGCTTAGAAAAGTTCAGCTAGCACCTTGTAAGAACAACATTTCACTTCCAGCCATTAGGATTTGCCCCCTAGCTTATT